CCCCCCGGGCCCCACCTAAAAATATCACTACCCATAACTCTAATAGACATTGGGGATGGCAACAGCCAACAGGAAGCACAATCTGCGTTTGGACCATCAAACAGCCTTGAAGCCAGCCTTGATTCGTATTTAAAAACGAGTGGTTTTCGAGGCCGGTACTACCACCATTCGTCCACTTGGCTGGCGATACTCCCAAGGCACAGCAAAAAGTGGCGTCGCTTGCTCCATCTTTCCATCGAGTGGCCAAATGCCATCTTCATATTTCATTTCCATCAAGCTTTGACGTTTTTTGCGTACAAGTTAAGTTCGTCATGGCTCAGCCCTCTTCGCGTGGTATTGAACTTCGTAATACTTTTGCGCCGGGTCGTGGAACGGTGAGCTCGTCGGCTGGCCAAACTGGAGAAGTTCATTCTCACCCGCCTCTGATGTCAAGCAGCTGACAGACGAAATCCGTCGCGCGCTCACCCTACAGTAGGTAGGCGCCACAGCCAGGTCAGAAATCAGCATCGACAGCCAATTAGCGCCCGGTTTGAGACTTGAAAGGGATTAGAAGTCTCAGCCGACTGGTTTTCTGGAAAACGCCTCCGCTAACCCCCAGTCACGCCAAGTCTTGGGGTGCGTGCGTTTGTTCCTGAAGCTTCTCCAACATGTCTAGCCTGTATGTACACTTGCACGGGAAACCATGTCGGGTGTGCACTCCGTTTCCTTCCTACCGATCCCAAGTCTATAGCTCAATATACCTCTTTTCACTAACGGAACTCATTTAGAATCGAATCTCTTTTGTCCGTGCCCGGTCATGGGCCATGGCACTTTCAAGTGGCTTCGAGCATGGACATTGGCCCAATTCCATCCCTAAAGCACGCTATTATCTTGCATCTTCCACATTATGCGAGATAGTGCAGTCTCTCAGTGATATCGAGGCTTATCTCATTTTGACCCCTTCCTCACCTCAGCTGGCCTCTGACAGCCAAGGAACGTTGCCTATAAAGGGGTGTCGTCCGAAGTAGCGGCGTGCTGTTCGGACGCGGACATCGATATGGAGACTCATCAGGAACCGACGTGACCCGACTCCACACCCCTTCAACGACCGATATTGGCGTTGCTGCACAATCACCGGGCTGATCTGAGCCTGTGAGAGATTCACCGTGCTAAAAGAGCTAAGCGAAACAGAGCGTCTCGTGATGCCCAACAAATTAGCTCATTTGAGAAGGCATGTTATCGGAACCTCGTTGGTGGAAATCACTATCAAGGCGCATGCCTTTTAATCAGGCACAACAAGAGTTGGATGGCACATCATCATACGGCGAATATGCAGCGTTCGACTCTGCAGGCTTCCCGGCTCACGCTGCTGTGCGAGCGAACTTGCATATGTAGGTATCTACTGCCTCTTGGCGGGTCCAAGGCATGACGGCCCTTGACAGGGAACGAATACTGTACGACATCCATTGGGCAAGTCCACGGTCAACGCAGGAAGCACGTCATTGAAACTAGCCCCGGCCGAGATATGCCTTTTGCCAGAAGCCATTGCTGACGATCATGTCGGCCATGAACTTCGATTCGCTTTCACCACGTGAGGGTTGTGCTCATACACCACAGTCACCTCTGACGCGAATGTATCGTATGGTTCAAGTAAGCGGTGATAAGGCTTGCATCATGCTCACCTGCAGTTCCGAGTACATGCAGTAATGCTCTGTATTAGTTGCAACACAGTCAAGCTCGTGACACTGCGGGGTCCCTGCGTGATAAGGCCCGCTTCGGCCATATCCGCCAGCGAAGCCGCCCGTTGATGGCACGTCGCCTGAAGCGAGATTTCAGGGAGGAGGTAACGCGAAGCATGATGAAATATGTTGCCATTGCCTTCCGATATTGCGGTGACAGGTCTAGCTACGGACTACGGGGTACAGGCCTAAACAGATTGAGGCATTTGGCACACACAAACAGGCACGGGGTTAGCCGGGCTCCTGAGTGACTCAATCTAGGACCATCAAGAAATAGAGAAATCTACAAGTTAAGTGAGTGCTTACCATTTCCATGTAAAGGAATTGGTGGGCACAAGGGGGGAAAACAATTTGATAGCCATCATTTTATTGTGTATTTGCTTTCGCGCATCGTGTCAACGTAAAATAAACCAAAATGCGGGTGGCGGCTAAAAGTACATGAATGGGATATTTTCACCCAATTAATGCCCAGATTCACTGCCGTTTCTCCTGTTCCACAAAAAGTTTCGCTCACCCTCCTAGATGCCATGATTTGCCGACGTTCAATGAAAACAAAATCCCCAAGCAAAAATATTTCCCTCAATAAACATATTCCGCAAATGCCTTCATTTCAACATCTTGTTGGGACGCGTCGCCGCCAATGCTTATTTTCATCTCCCATCCAGACCTTTCCCCTCTTCTCCCAAAAAAAGGGGGGGAAAGACCGGGCCGCCAGGTTGCTACGTAAAAGTATCTCCCCAGTATAAACAAGGTTCTCCTATTCCGCCAAAGTGCAGATGGGTATTCCTCATGCTCCAGTATTTCTTCTCCGTATTTCCGTCCTCCTACTCCGTATTCAATTTTTCTTTCTTTCTTTTTCTTTTTCTTGTTTTTTGGACCAGGTACATTTCGGTTGTGTCCATATTTCTTTTTGTCATACGGCCCCGTTGACTTCTGATCGCTTGGACTGCACCATGTGGGTGCCTGGTGTGCGAGGCAGGACCTACCGTGGAGCCTCAAAACATGATCCACTCGGCCTCAGCTCCAGGTCCGCCAAAGCACTTTGCCCAATTGAACGGTCCTCGGCAGCCGGCCATCTTGGCCGGGCCGGACCTGTGACGCAAGTCGGGTGTGGCGGCATTGAACTCACCGGCCCACAGTTTCTCTAGAATGTCCAGGGCCGACAGATTATTCATGTAACCAGACCGGGCCATGATGTCGCGGCATTTGGTTCGCACAATATTTTGTTGTAATTCATTGACGCACTCAGAACCCGCGACGAACAATGGCCAAAGGAGAAATTTCTCGGCCGTGCTGCCGGCATCGAGGCTGGTGGCGTAGTAGACAACTTGACTGACTAGGTTCTGGAAGTTTGTGTGGCTTGATGGCGTGCCCGGACCCGCGAGGCGCTCGGTGTAGAGGAGGGCGGCATACCGGAAAGCCTCTGACAGAGATCCAAGATCCCGAACCTCGGACGGGCAGGGAGATCCCGGCAACGATGCCGCAACTGCAACTGCGTCAAACTGCCAGTTCTGCAATGACATTCGTGCCTCCTTCCATTCGCGCCAGAACAGTGACCGACTGTCATCAAATGCTGCAGATGTGCACAGGGCAGAGGCGAGAATCTCATCGTCATCAAGTGTCGTACCAAATCCGTTACCGTCAAAGCGGTGCGCAGGTGCCGGGTACAAGTCACCAAGCTGTTGTGACTGTTGATGTTGTGGTTGCTGCTGCGCGTGTTGATTTTGTGGCGTGTGAAGGCTGCCCACGTTGGTGATACCAGCACTGTATGAGTGAACAACTGGGGATCCAACCATCCGATGACTTGGTGCAGTGTCAGCGCTTGGTCGACGAGAAGATGCCATGTTTTGTACGGGGCGATGTTGCGAAAGTAGATTCAATCTACCAAGCTTGCTAATCGTCTTGAATAATTCCCTGTCACAGCCCACAAGATTTTCTGCGCCGAGGGGCAACAGCGGTGACCCATCATCCACGGCTGGGGAAAGCTGGGCCTCGCGATCATTAATGCTTGCCGAGATGGCGTCAAAATAGGTAAACAGTGCTTCGATCCATGCCGAGCCCCTGGAAGGGCCAAACTGTTCTGTTCGCATGGACAAGATCTTTTTCACACCAGCAAATTGGGTGTGGAACTTGGCCACGCCAGACTCTACCATACGGTAGTGGCAGAGAAGAAGGATAGTGGCTAGGACAGAGTCGTGTGTAGATTTAAGCGGATCGTTGAGCTGCTCATTGAGAAGGTTTACTGCCAAATTTCGGTGCTGAAACTCTTCGGCCAATGAGGGATCATCTGGCTGGCGATCACCAAGACTGTCGATGGCATTCTTTTCCGTTGTGAGCTTCTCAAGCAATTCCTGCGTGTCTTGCCCAAGGCTCAATTTCCTCTTCATTCGCAGGTTGCAAGCCGATAAGGCACAGATAGCATGCTGAAGGCTTTGACTGTGAACCGCCAGCTGAAGGACATGATCCCGAAAAGGGTTGTGTGGTCCATCGATATATACCATGGAAGGCGCAATAGTGTTTTTGTAATAGTCCATGAAAAATGGCATCCTCGCTACGAGGTCCGGGCTAACTCGAAAAGGCTCGGGTTCTCGAATCGTGGTAGGCCACCTGTTCGACGCGTGTTCGGATTGCGGTGACTGAATTTCTTCGTCGCGCTGATGCGAGGATGATGTCCAGCTATTGGCAGCGGGGCTGCAACTTGAATTGAATACGTCGATTTGTGGAACACCTGCTGCCTCATTAGAATGGGAAGGCTGGACAAGGCTCCATGTGATGCTCACTGAGGCTGTCACACTCCCGCATCAGTTTGTGGCTCAGGTGTGTGTCGAACGGGTCCAAGTGAGAGTTGATACTCGAGCCATGTTCTGATACGGCGTATACCAAGCCAGGACACGACGTTGGCACACGAGTGTGGTCTAGAACTAGTCCTGAAGGAGGACTTTGGGAGACGGGAGAGTGCTGGTTTCTCCCGTATCCGTCATAAATTACAGATGATCCACTACCAAAGGGCATTTCATCGCGTGAATATGTTTGGCTAAGAGGGGAAAGATAGTCCACATCGCTTACAGAGTCGACTGATGATGATAGACCATCTGTAATAAGAGGAAGGGGAAATTTGGAGTATTTTGGTGTTGCGTCCGGCGAATGTACAAGTCCGCTGGAGTAATGAATATTGCCCCAGCCATGTTGAGGAACAGTTGTGCCGTTCTCAGGGTGGGACATGGAAAGATAGTCGTACCCATGTCCGGGATATGAGTTTGCTGGAGTTGAGACGGAATGCGTCACTGACGGGATATCGATGGGCCCTCGGTGTCTCTTGGCCTCTTCTTGTTCTACCCAGTGAGCAGCCATAACGGCCGCCGTCGAGTTGGCACGGCCTCGAGCCACGGGGGACTTCTTGGGCTCTCGAGATACTGGAGGAGCCTTGGCGATGGGAAGCGAAAGTCCGCGAAGCTTGCCTCTGCTAGCAACTCCAACTCCCCAGGTGAGCTGAGTCTTATATCCGGAGCATTCATTTCCAATTTCTAGACATTGAGAGCAGTATGGCCGTCGGCGGTCACACTTGACATTTCGTTTCGAGCAAGTGAAGCAGTCATCCGCAGCACCTCCAGCTGGAGCACGTCTTCTGCGCTTGCGAACTGCGGCTGCGTCTTTGACTGAGACTGTTTGTTGAGAGAGAGGAGCTGTCATGATCACAAGCCAAACCTCGGCTTTTTGTCTTCTTAACACTAGTCAGAGATATTGTACTGTGTTTCGATAGTGCTTTGTACAAATGTATTGACAACGGGCAAATAGCAGGGCGTATGGCGCGAGCAATTGCGGCCGAGGTGGAGCCACGGGGCAAGTGTGTAGAGATCTTGAAAGGATGTGAGATGAAGGATGGTAAGAGAGGAAGAGGGAGAGGGAGAGAGAGTGAGTGAGTAAGAGGAAGATTAGTAAGTATAGAGTGCCCAAGTCTATGTGTAAATGAAATACACTGGCTGATGCAGATGTTGTATGCAGAGAAAGGAACCGGGTGGTAACAAGGTTATGTATATTGCGACTCGGATATTTGAGAGCCCAGGACTGACTGATAGGGACTGACAGTGATGGTCAGGGCCACAAGGAGCGGCGGTGGGAGAGCGCTCGCGCCTTGAAGCAAGCTGACCAGGGTCTATCTGCATTTCTCCATACATCCAATCGAGAAACTAACTAGGGTGTGTGCCCGTAGACGATGGGATGCCCGGTACTACTTCATGGTCCTCCGTGGTGCCTCATGGCCCTGTGTAAAGTGGGAGCGAGTAACCCGGTGGTGTGGTGTCCCTGTAGGCTGTTGTGGTACAGTTCCACAAACATCTATAGCCTACATGGGACGGAGCCTATCTGGAGAAAAGTGGGATGGATGGGCGTGTCCGGCAGGCCTGGGTCTCGACGACACGTCGGCGTGAAGTTAGCAACCGTGAGGAGATCAGCGGGGACCGTCGCATGGGGGTGTGTCTGATGGGCCTCGTCTTGGACTCCCCGGCTAGCGATATTGGGGGGTGAACAAGACGGCGACGGATAGCCTGGGTGAAGAGGCAAAAGATGCTAGAGAAGCCTCTCCAATTAGTACGACCAGCCAGTCGCCTACCAGAGAAGGGGACGTTTGTCGGAGGCCGCGACTCTTCGAAGATGCCACTGGCCAGGGCCGCCATCTCAAAAGTTGTGTCGCACGTAAGCAAGGCACTTTGGACGCATTGTCGTCTGGGGAGTTTCTTTGGTAGATTGGCTCTGTGAAATACGGTCAGATATGAGCAACGTATGCAATGCGCGCGAAGCTGCCCCGCGTGCGCGTGGTGTCTTTAAGCATGTCTCGATGCGAAGAAACCTGCTTGCCCAGGCGAGCGAGGCCAGTGAGTACTTGACATGTAACACAAGATAAATGTAGCTGGTCCGCATGCCTAGATCCTCTGCAGGTTGTGACTTCCCAGAGCCGTGGAGGGGCCGGGAGAAAGGTGGTTGTTCACCGTGCATTAATTGACATTTGGGCTCTGCGAGTTCGCGGGGTGAGGGACCACCAGCCCGTTCTGCCCGTCGTGCCCGGGTGATGGTGAAGACAGACACCCTTGCAGGAATCGTCAAGATACCATGCCGTGATTGGGAGAGAAGCTGATCGTTGGTGCCGTAGGGTGTGGGAGATACCAAAGCATGCAGGCAGGCAGGGCGTGTGATGATGGAATTGTTGGAGGCGGATGTTTTTGGGGTCGGGTCGACCTTGGAGGTTGGAGGTTGGAGGGGCAAAAGGGGCCGTGGTTGTGAGAACTTGTGTCCCACAGAACCACAAGAACTATGGTGCTAGGCCGGACATGAAGTCCTGAACTGCTCCATGCCGACCTGGCAGCTTGACCAGGTGTCCGTCAAGTGCCTGTCAAGTGTCAGCTTGACCTGGCGGAACTAGTCACGGCATCTGTGTCTGTTAACTTTGGGAGGTGCGGCGACGGCAGTAATTGAGCCATGCCGCATCACGCCTTTCCCTCCGCCGACCCTCAACAGTGACACCTCGACTGAGAGCCAGCACTGAAAGTATCACGAGGACCAGACCCTGCCGGTCGTCAGGGGACCATTCTTGATCTTTGCACTATCCGGATTGGGGGGCCAGGCGGCAATCAAAGCTCCAGCGGCAGCGGCCAAAAAGACTTGATCGTTAAGCGAACATTGAAGGCAGTAAACTGTATGCACAACGCCGTTGAAGCCCCGGCCTCTGTGGTCCATCGTCTCCTCAGTTCCTGTAGGCTCTAGACCCGAACACCAGGCCAGCTGCACTAGGACTTCGAGTCTGGAGAGCAGACGGACAAGCATGCAAGCAACGCGAGCACGCGAGCCTCTGTAGCTATGTCCCTTACAGAGTCTGGTACGCCTAGCCTCAAGTAGACGAAGAGAGAAACTTGGTGGCAAAAGAAATTCGGAGAGAGGCAAAAGCATAAAAACCGACCCTAGCGAGACGCCTTTTGTCTCCGTGATGAAATTCAGGGTTTTGGGGCCCATGAATGGGGGCCACATCACGCAAAGTGTTGGCGCGAATAGGATCAATTGTCACTAAAGCTGCACCGGCATCTCTCCCAGTTTGCCTCTAGCGTCTTCCAAGCCTGCGTACGGAGTATAGCCAGGTTCTTTTGTAAAGCCCACTTGGGCACCCACTCCGTGCAGGCGCCTCTGGGGAGCCGCTAAGATAACGTTTTGATGCTTTTCAGATAGATAGAGAGGCAGGGTGGACGGGAGCGGGAGAGGGAGAGAGGACAGGCCCATCGAGACGCGATAGATTGTGCTTGCCGAGACCCATCGCTCATGTGTTTCTTCAGGTACGTGGTAGATAAATTAAATTGGAATATCCCGCAAATCTGGTATGTGTGGGGGAATCGCATCTGGTGCCATGTGCTTAGGACAGCTAACAGGTGCCGCGCTGCAATTGCTTCTTGTTTGCAGCAACCCAAGCCCGGCGTTCCATTGGCAAGTTCGAGGCGTGTTACTGGGTGAACAGTCAAGCATGTTCGCCCAAATGATAATGCGAGTCACCGCGCTTCCACTAAATGAATATACAATATGGCGCCGGTACATCAACAGGGGTAACTCCAAATGACCATATCCAGGATGTAACCATCATGCAGCTGTTTGAAATCGCCCTTCCAGCATGGGATGACAGCATGTATACTCCTTTGCAGCATGTAGGTACAGAGAAGCAGAGATCCAGAATGACTTTGTAGCAAACATGACCGGACTGGCTGAGATGCTTGCACCCACTTTGTTCTTACCAAGCCTTAAGTGGATCACAAAGCAAGCGGCAGCTTCATGTCGACCGCAAATTGTGCGTTTCAGACTCGGGTTTTCTCATGATAAATTTAGGCTAGGCACTTTTGTATCTGTCGAGATCGGTATGGCGAGCCATGAATTGATTTGAAGATTTTTTTTCCTTTGACCCGGGAGATCGTCAATGTCGCGATTTCGATTAATCCATAGATATCACGGGCAGAGCTGGATGCAGAGGAGAGAAGGGAAAGCCTCAAAGCTTGTCCAGGGCAGACTACTTCGGTTGCCGTTCCCAGAAACCTAGGTTCCCGGGTAGCAGTATCATTTTGCACTCTTTGATACTGCTGGTCGTGGCGTCCCTCGGTTCGGTCTTGGCAACTGCAACTTAACATATGCACAGCAGGGACCTGTGTTGAAGATGGTGACGGCGGCGACGGGATTGGCGCAATAAGGTCGAACGGGAGACGAAGGAGGTGATGGCCCTCACATCCGAGAGTACGGCGTACGGGTGCAAATTGGTGCGACGACGAGGCCAACGGCCGCCGCGGCCTCCCAAGGAACAAAAGCTTCCGCTGTCTACTCCTGATGGCGTTGGAGATGCCTGAGTAGAGATTCGTACTGTGGCTGAGCTAGTCAAAGGCCTTGCCTTCGTAGCAAGCGGCTGCGACGACTCGGCCGACTCGACTCCTGCCTTTTTGTGCGTGAGGAGGTCCACTTACATCATCGTATTTCCGACTTCCTACGGAGTACGGAGTACTCACCAGGTATTCTAAATGACTGCAGAGGGAAGTCGCGTCTGACCAGCCTGCTTCTAGTTCAAACCTCCGCGCTTGTAGGAGACTCGTGCAGCAATTGAAGCCAAATCCTAGAGAGAGTCAAGAAGTCAACTGGTCCAACTTGGCATGCATTAACGAAATCCGAACATGACAGAAAGGCATGTGCCTCGTACAGCCGCAGGCATGTCGGGACGACTGCCGCCTGGCAGCAATCTACTGCCCTACGAGGCAGTATTCCATCTCAGCCATGCCCTCACTGACTGACGCCGCTGGCGATTGCCCCATTCCCAGCTCGTTCAGCCCTAAAAGCAACTAACTACGGCCTTGAAAGGAAAACGCCAGCCCAAAGAGGATTGGTGGCTGTTGTTCTGTTGCGCAACAATACATGTACGACGGCCAAAAAAGCCACAGCATTTTCGGACTGACCATCTTCATCAGGCAAGGCGAAGATCGCCCGGGTGTTTGTGAGAAGCCAACAGGCAGTCCCAGACAACCATCATTCCATCAGCCAAACCAATTTTGGCTCTTGCAATCACATCATCTGATATCGATGTCTGGATCCTGGTGGCCCCTTTGTCACTGGTGCAGAGTCTGGCCGCTAGTGGATGGGGCAGCCACCTTTCAAACGGCCCCGAGCCACGATGGCCCAGTCCTTTCCGATCATACATGGCACATAATAACTTAGAAGACAGCAGACGGGGCAATCCTTGCTTCATCTCGCCCCAATGGCGAACGGCAATCACACCCTCCACTCAGCATACACAACTCGGTTTGCAGAAGCTGGCCACGGCGAGAAACAATAAAAATATGCACCCAAAGTTTACCATCCAGACGTCGGCTGAGATCTGCTGTAACTCAGCACCCAACACTGAGGTTGCAGGAAGACTGGTCAGTTGCTGAGCCGTTTGGAGTCACAAGACGCCAAGGGTTCGCACTAGCAGATTCGGCCATGCGTGTCTCACTCCCTGGTTAGTGATCACCGTTTTCTAGAAGTTCAAGACTAAGCACAATCTCCCGTGTTCGGTACTTTATTTTACGGACTGTAGTATTAGCTTGCTCTTATCTCCACATCATCCGTAACGTTCGCCCGGAGCTGATGTTGACGTACTAAATTACTAACGAGATCAAATTCCGGCTAGGCAAACCGGGCAT